TTGAAAGCTTTCTCCTGGTCTTTGAATGCTACAAATAAGTTCTGATCATACTATATGTTCTTTTCTATTAACTGTTTAAGTGGAAGTTTGCATCTGAGCAGCTTATGTTTCTTCTGAAACCGATCTGTTATTTTGTCAACTGTGTATCAATCACTGGTCGCAACATCGTTTCTAGTATCTTAGCATACATTTTTCCCACATGACTTAAAAGAGAGATGCCTCGATATTGTTTGCATTCTCGCTTGCTTCCCTTGTCATTGCTGTCTTTATATATTCATTGAGCAACAGACATTTGAAAGGAGAATCTGTAATTGTTAATACAGGGTGAGTATACATATTCTGAAAAACAGTTTTAACTTGAGATTTGTACGTGTCACCAGTAGTCACCGTTTTGTAATATACCCTAATATTAGACTTTATATTTGTCTGTATGTGTGTGTGTGTGGTTATTTTAAAGCCCCATCCAGGCTGCAGTAAGGGGCCCTAAATATAATTTAAAGGTTGAAAGGGATTCTGGGAATTGAGCCCAAATGGACTTCTTAAAAAAAAGGCTCTTAAAAAAAACCAGAGGTAAAAAGATAGCTCACGCCGTTTTATGAAAATGTATGATACTCTTTACTGTGTTTCAAAATTAGAGAAACCAACACTGTTTAGTCGACGTCTAACGTGAGATTATTGCTCTTAATACTAAACACATCATAGGGGATAGTTTTATGTATATATATATAATATATATATATATATATATATATATATATATATATATATATATATATATATATATATATATATATATATATACGAAGAGCCACCCTGGGTAGTAGCAGCTGGACGTTCGCTGTGGATCGAAAGGTTTTGGGTTTGAATCCTGACGGAGCCGGACGTGTTTCAGAAATGACCCTTGGCTTCGGGGTCAACGCAGCCTTCAGTAGGTACCATGTATAGTCCTGGCAAGTGAAAGAGGAAGTAAAAACGGGTATGATCCCCCACACAGTCAGGTAATAAATCTGATAAAAGTGTTGGTGATGATGGGGATAATGATTCTGCTGATGATAATGATGGTTATGGCGATGATGATTAGAATGTATGTGCATTGTTAATTACTATCCCGGCTTGATGCTGACCACATCAGCCACCGAGTGCCGATTGGTCAATAAAATTAAGGTCTAGCCCTATTTGTTCAGACACGCCTGAAAGCTTGAAAAAGATTCCTAGATCTAGTCCTAATTATTATAATTCTACCTCTGTTTACATGCTACCTCTATTTACATCTACAGACTACCTTTATTTACAGCTACAGGCTACTTCTATTTACAACTACAAGCTACTTCTATTTACAGCTACGTGCTACCTCTATTTACAGCTACAGGCTACTAGTCGAGGTCCGTGACAATACTACCTTGAAACCAGTGAATTCACTTCTGAGTATTTGCTTTCAATAAACGAATTTAACTGAACTATGTCGTTAGCGTTTTTGTGTGGATGTCAGGACTTTATGACAGTAGGCTGCACACACACTAGGCGACCGGGTCGGCCACTGGCTCACCAGTAGACGACTTCGTCGCCAGTCGAAACAGTACTTGGGTATATCTTCTTTGATCGCATGAACACTGGAGAAATCCATTCCAGAGCTAATGGTGGGATGCAGTGCTAAGCAATTTTATGTAGCGCAAAAAACCTTGTCATGATTATAACCTAAAGCTCCTCTTTGGGTGATACTGATTGAACGTGGGGATAATTTTATTTTCCAGCGAAGTACCTATCAACGAGAGCAAGCTGTAATATATAGCAATGCGCGAAGGAGGAGGACAGTTGTGAGAGAAATAGGAGCAAAGGAGAACAGAAAAGTCGCGATGTGCTTCTGAGCAGGGGCGATGATGTTCAGAAAATATAGGAGGAGAGAGGATCGGGCGGGGGGGGGGGGGTGATCTTAGACCCTTACAACGGGTTAGGCAGTAGGGGCTACACTGGTTTTTGTTTAAATGTGCACTAAAAGTAAAAACTAGTCGTTAATAATATTAAGGCTGAATAGATAGTGATAACGCTATTTTTGTTTTAAATAATAAGAATATTTTTAACAATAGGAAATTATAATTATTTTACTCTAAAGAAAGTGACAAAACGTGGTAAGTGTGACCACTTAGCGACAAGGGCGAATACTTAGTGACAAGGGCGACTACTCAGCGACAAGGGTGACTACTCAGCGACAAGGGCGACCACTTAGCGAGGAATTATAGAACCAAAGCCTGCAGATTCATGCTTCTGTGCGTCTGTGGAGGCGCTTATCAAATAGATGTGATAAATTGGTCCTAAAATTCCATGCACTTTTTTTAGAAGATTGTTCCAAACGTGACTGAGCTGGTTTCTTTAGCCACACTAACAATCGCCATGGGCTGTGACTCCCTTGCCTCCCTTCAGCGCAAAGGAACGGTACTGTATAGAAAAACTGTATTGTGTGAACCATGTCTGGACCACTTGTAAATATCAATTTTCATCATGATATTTTTCCTGTCGGTATTCAGTACGTTCAGAAACACAGTCTAACATCAACACAAGATACAGAACAAACAAAAGCCATGACACTACACATAACATCTCTTTGCTACGGTTTGTGGTTTAAACTAAAGAAGAAGTTCACTGAGACAGGGGCCATCTCTACACTGAAGGGCTGTTGCATTGGATCTCCTAAAGTTTTTGTGTATCTATCTATCTATCTATCTATCTATCTATCTATCTATCTATCTATCTATCTATCTATCTATCTATCTATCTATCTATCTATCTATCTATCTATCTATCTATCTATCTATCTATCTATCTATCTATCTATCTATCTATCTATCTATCTATCTATCTATCTATCTATCTATCTATCTATCTATCTATCTATCTATCTATCTATCTATCTATCTATCTATCTATCTATCTATCTATCTATCTATCTATCTATCTATCTATCTATCTATCTATCTATCTATCTATCTATCTATCTATCTATACTATCTATCTATCTATCTATCTATCTATCTATCTATCTATCTATCTATCTATCTATCTATCTATCTATCATATCTATCTATCTATCTATCTATCTATCTAATCTATCTATCTATCTATCTATCTATCTATCTATCTATCTATCTATCTATCTATCTATCTATCTATCTATCTATCTATCTATCTATCTATCTATCTATCTATCTATCTATCTATCTATCTATCTATCTATCTATCTATCTATCTATCTATCGATCTATCGATCTATCGATCTATCGATCTATCGATCTATCGATCTATCGATCGATTTATCTATCTATCTATCTATCTATCTATCTATATCTATCTATCTATCTAATCTATCTATCTATCTATCTATCTATCTATCTATCTATCTATCTATCTATCTATCTATCTATCTATCTATCTATCTATCTATCTATCTATCTATCTATCTATCTATCTATCTATCTATCTATCTATCTATCTATCTATCTATCTATCTATCTATCTATCTATCTATCTATCTATCTATCTATCTATCTATCTATCTATCTTATCTATCTATCTATCTATCTATCTATCTATCTATCTATCTATCTATCTATCTATCTATCTATCTATCTGTCTGTCTGTCTGTCTGTCTGTCTGTCTGTCTGTCTGTCTGTCTGTCTGTCTGTCTGTCTGTCTGTCTGTCTGTCTGTCTGTCTGTCTGTCTGTCTGTCTGTCTTGTCTGTCCTCTGTCTGTCTGTCTGTCTGTCTGTCTGTCTGTCTGTCTGTCTGTCTGTCTGTCTGTCTGTCTGTCCGTCTGTCTGTCTGTCTGTCTGCCCCCCCCCCCCCCGCCTCTCTCTCTCTCTCCCCCCTGGTTGAACGATCTCCAAAATACTGTTGGCTGTCTTTTAACGTTATCTTTACAAATGTATCCCCGTCTACCTTTTGTATTATGTCTACACAAATACTGATCTGACATCATATACCCGAATTGCAACTGACAGGAAACACTGTTTACTCATTTACATTTACTTTAGCCTGCATGTCTTAAGGTCGTTGGTTCAGATCTTGATCGTGCAGAACTTTATTTTCTTTTTTCAAAAATTACCTTCTTGACTCAACATTGAGTACCAAGTACAGACATGGAAAGTAAAGGTGGCCGGCTTGATGTTCACCACATCAGCCACGCCAGGTAAATGTCTTGACCACTTCGCTTAGAGAACCACAAAGGAAGGACAGACCTTCATTAGTCGCATGGTTTTATTTAATAAAATATCTGTTTATACCCAGCTCAGACACGTTTCGTTGTTTACCCCATTATTATCACCCTCATCGTCATAATCATCATTTGATGATAAGATTAGTCTGTCTTAAATATTCTACCTCACAGTCACCACGACCTTGGATCAAATATTTGCACCTGTCCGGATTATGCCGATGTGACCCAGACATTCAAGCATCTGTCGTCTTGTCTGCCCCCTTCCTCTTTACCTGAGAGAATCAACCAGGAACAAATCCCAGAAGCCTTGACAGTTCAACTATTGCAATTATATTATGGCCCCTGACGGTTACACAGTGACCTATGTCCTCACCTGGCAGGGAATATACCTCTCAGCCCAAACCTGGAGGAAATGATCTCACTACAGGCATGTCAAATTGAGGATTCGTGGGTCGCATGCAGCCTTTTGCAAGCATAAAGGAAAACGTGTGCAGGTAATTTATTTTTAGGGGTAATTAAATGACTCGAATTAGTTGTCATGTGTGCGACATGGAGATTTTGTTTATAAATTTAGCAAAAGCTGTCAAACCGATCGCACTCATTGAGTCTTAGAGATAAGGCCAAGAACCGACCATTTCATTCACTAAATGTGAATTAAATCATTCCTTATAATCAGCAAAAGAGAGACTAATCAAACACAAAGCAAATGGATTCAGTTGGTTTAATTTTATTTATTGAATCATATAAGTCAGATATGCCTCAGCCGGTTTGAAATGGGAACTTGGATATCTCTTTAGTCGTAGCCTGTGAACAGAGAAAAACACTTCATCAATGACAATAACTAAACTATTGAAAATAAACAGTTCAGTTCTTGCAAGAGACGAATTAAGACTGGCCTGTGTGTTAAGTTTATGACCTCTTTGTAACGTCCCCACGTTCCTTTACCTCGCCAGATTTGCGGTCCCTACCCCCCGGACTTGAATCTCAAGAAAGCCCTGTCTCACAGCTTAACCATGTGGACCTTTTGCACTCACCTCTGCCATCATCATCATCATCACCATCCAGCACCTTTACGACTGGCGTATAAGATCACGCTTCTGACGTCTGGTATTGCTGAACAGCAAAGTAAGTTTCGGACACAACAGTCATAGTGTCGATTCCAAAATTACTACATTAGTTAAATCATTTTTGTAAAGTATATTGACTTTGAAAAGTCTGAGAAACTCTTGATGAACTGCCTGGATTCAAGGAGTTAAAGATAATTGACAGAAGAGCAAACAGACTGGAAGTGGAACCAAGTCCTATTTTTGGTTAAATAAAAAAACACTAATCAGAATGTCAAAGATGACAGGCGTTTTCTTTTTATATGGGTGAAAGAAGGAAAACAAACTTACCGTGTTTTCCACCAAATCCACTGTCGAAATCGCTGTCGAACCCGCTGTCGAATCCAATGCCGAATCCACTGCCGAATCTACTGCCGAATCCGTTGCCGATTCCACTACCGTATCCACCGCCTATTCCATATCCACCTCCGTATCCACTGCCAATTCCACTACCATATCTGCCACCAATACCAAAACCTCCTCTAATTCCTCCACCTGCTACAGGAAGGAGAGAACCTCCACCTATTCCTCCACCATATCCTCCACCAATTCCTCCACCATATCCGCCACTGACTCCACCGACGCCTCCCAATCCACTGCCGATTCCACCGTAGCCATAGCCTTGAACTGTTGCAGCCATTGCAAAGACAGCAATGAGAGCAACCACAATGACGTGCTTGTACATAATCTGTTGGCGATACAGAGAATAATTAGTGCATGAATGTGCCTTCTTTTCTCGCTTCATGAATCGAATGCCCCTTTATATGCCAGTGACGCATGGGGTATAAGAGGCTAGCCATCTACGGGTGATGTGCTTAACATTATACGGGCCATCTTTACTTCCCATGACTTTCCTGCTACCCTTAAGGCTGGGTTGACCTGTGAACTAAGATAATTTTTCAAGTGGGGGTGGGTGGGGGGGGGGGGGGGGGGAATCTGGCTACATGGTGATTTGAACCCACCACCTTTACATCCGTAGGCGAGCGGCTGGAATTATTAGCAAGTAACATAAAGCAGACGGTAAATTAAATTAACCGCCCTTTTCCAAACCTGATAGTGGACTGAATTTGAATGTAATATAAAGGATTCTTTCACGAACCATAAAAGAGATGCATAGCAAATGAGGTACAGTTTTAAAACCCCTTTATAAGCCATGATTTTGATAAACAGAAAGGTAAAGTACCAGTTTATACTCGAAAAGTTAACGATTCTTTTAAGCGACCTTTAGATGTTTGGACATACAAGTAAAGGAATTTTTACACTCCATAAATTTAATCTTTGTATAGCAAGTAACGTAATATACCAGTTTACATGTCTTCTGATTGGAGTTATGACTTAAGTTATCTTCACTACACTCCCAAGTCGACCCCGCCTTGAGTATGTACCAGGTGCCGTCCTGGGAAGTAAAGGAGGCCCGTGTGATACTGACCACATCACCCGCCAAGTGCAGATTGGTCTATAAAAATATCGGTCTAGCCCTATATTCACAATACGTCTAAAGGCGGGAAAAAGGGAACTTTACTGTTACTTTACTATCTTTACAACACTGCCGACACGTCCATAGGTGATAAGGTTCCCCCTTCAGCATCCTGACGTTAATAGTGTTAGTAATGTGCTGAATAACAAGACGTCTTGTACGTCCAGTGTGACTTTCATGCTTGAATGTGCCCATCTCTACTCACAATTCTCGCCTTATTAGCCGCGGTGTGGACGCACAGATCTCAGAATCCTATGTTTGTCCTATCTGTGTCAGGCCATCAAACAATCGGCGCTATCTACAGGCGGGTTGTCTTCAACTAAAGCATGGCAAGGTACTGAACCAAGCACAGGGTCAATCCATTCAGCTAAACGTAAACGTTACAGCTAGAAAGACTTCATCAGCATGTCGTCCAATTACGCCAGTCTGCATAACTAATCTTCATTGTGTAAAATTGTCTAGAATGGAGCGTTATGTTCCCTCAAAAATGCTGCTGCCTTTGCACATGGTTCTAATAAACGAGCCAACGCATTCCCACAAGACAAAATGATTACTTTAGTGTGCACAGCGAAGGACTTTATGATGGATTCCCATATCTTGACACATTATTTTGAAGACCCTGCTTATAAGAACTTATAATAAGTAAAGGTAAGGGACCCTTTTCCACGCCTTTCAGGCTTATTAGGTATATAGGGCTAGACCTTTCAGCATCACGCCGTCCGACTTACTTCCAAAGACTGCACCTGGTACACACTCATGGCCGGGTCGATCTGGGATCTAAGTTAGTTTGAAAAAAGAAAAAGGTCTGGCTCAGCCAGGGAGCGAACCCACGACCTTCCGATCAACAGGCGAACGTCTAGCCGCTTCGCCACCGTGACTCCCTAAGAATTTATACTAGTTTTTTATTTTATTGCACCATTTATTTCTGTCATGATTGTATTATACATTTTTCTCTATTCTAGCACATGTAGTTGAAGAATGTGATGGTTGCTACTACAAGTGTTTGCCTAATATGCCATTGGCTACACTACTGTGACACATGATGGCCTTTGCATCATTAGTTCATATGTCTGCAGCTTTCCCTCACTGTAGTTTGTTTGACCAGAAGAATTCATCCTGAAGACTAAATATCTCGGACCCTGATATGTTGCTTGGAAGTGATCCGTTGTTAAGAAGGTCCTCGTCGTCGCTTCGTCAGTAAACAACAAAACGAAAAAAAAAAACATTACAATCACCTACTTCCCGATGTCAGTGTCACTAATCCAGTTATATTGCGATTGTTTTAGGCCTGGTGCGACTAATGAGAATCATTTTTGCAGGTCCTCAGCCATATTGCAGATTCAAGGTTTCCTAATCATTAAATTTATTAAATTGTTATTTTTCTAAAGCTGCCTCGGAGTGCACGAGGAGCCCTTAGGGCTCTGCTGAGCACCGACTGGGAACCACTGCATGAAATCAGTTACCTCCAGTATGAACATGAATGTTAATTCGACCGATGCAACAACTTGCGACTTGCTTCTTCCCAGCTCACAAGGGCAGTAATATTCTGTGACTCTCTGTCCGTCTGAATAAATGTACAAAACTCACAATCTTGGCATTTATGGCTCAGACGTTGGGAATGCGCTTCGTAACGCCGAGGTGCTGGGTTTGATCCCCAGTGCAGGCGATTTGGCAGCAGAACGTCTTGCGTTTGGTTCAACGGTGGTACCGTGAGCTGACCATCAGAAAACAATGGTAAACTATTCAAGTAAAAAGTGCATAGAAAAACCCCAACAGTCAAAACAAAAACAATGCTGTTATGGGTTCTGTAACATCTTGTAAAGGATACGCAACCTGACATTCTGATATGCGTAAGTTTCATGGGAGATTTCTTCTTCAAAGAGGTAAACGAATCTACACCGGATTATTGAATCATATGAGGTTAAAGTGCAGCTATACACGGACTCAAACCAAATAACGACATTGCTTTTTCGGGAACATAAAAACATTGTTTTCCCCTACAACTACATATAGTTTAGTAAATGCTCCATTTCGATGCCTTTAGGCATATAGGGCTAGACCTATTTTTTACAGACCAATCGACGCAATTTGTTTGATGTGGTCAGTATCACGCCAGCCGCCTTTACTTCCCGGAACTGCACCGAGTACCCACTCAAGGCTGGGTCGACCTGGGTGTCAATGTCATTTTTGAAGAACAACTATATATACTCACGGAAAAATTGTGGTTCGTGCACGGAGTCGTGGAGATGTTTGGTAGACGGGCTTTGGTGATCTCCGTTAGTTCAGATCTCTACTTATATACCGCTTGGACTCTCACTGGGTAAGCAAGCTTGTCGCCCTAGGAGAATCGGCTTTTGGCAGTTTGATCTGTTAATCGTGTTTATGTCATTGCAGAGGGGACATATATTCCTGACATTATTTGTCTGATTGATGCATGCAAAAAATGTGAATATAGTGATAGACAGATTAGGATGCCCAATTCACTGCAATTATCAAGTGCCTTGCCAACAACCATCCTTACTAACAACGGACAGCACGTTCGTCATGTAAGATTTAATGTATTAGTTAAGTATGTCTCAGTCCTTACATTATCAGGAGTTTGAAAAAGGTCAGAGGAATGCGCTCTTTGATTGCCATCCTGTATGACAATTGTTTCAATCACCTTGAATGAATCAACTTCTGTGAGTCAGTCTAGAAGGCGGATACAAAAGAATAAACAAACGATTGATCGAACAAACTGTATGTTCAAAAGATTAAAAATTGGACACTCGGCTTATCTTACATTCCGCCCTACTGGCATCACTCCATGAATACATGTTTCCAAACAAACATCATTATAGCAGATATTATTAATAATAAATATCAACACCACGCAAAAGAGACAACATCATGTTTCCCATAACAATGGCCACAATCTTTATAGAGACAGAATTGACGTCTTACTTGGAAGTCAGAGTACATCTGCACAAGAGGCAGGGAACAAGAAGGTACATAATAGGCCAGTAAAACAGATGTACACACACGCAAAACTCAGGCCCTGGTGCAAGGCCAAAATCCAAATAAAGAAATAATCAGCCGACCAACGCTAAGAAGAAGAATAATAAACATCATCATCAACGTCTACATCTTTTTTACAAAGGTTGGAATGTGTTATAATTATACCTACCGGTACATTTTAAAACAGTAATATTACTAAATTGTTAGATAACATCATGGCCATGTATCACACTTCCCAAAGCGCAGTGAGAACACAGGAACGCAAACCTGATATGTTTATCAATACAGGGGGGAAGGGGGGAGGCAGGGATGTGTGCTCTCTCCTCTCTTATTTACTACATACACAGACAGAATATTCAAAGATACCAGCTTTAAATCCATCGACCAAGACAATCCAGAAAATGAGGAACTTTCTAGTGAAAGAATCAGATGCTGTACAATCTTTATCTTTATCTTTATTTTCAAAGGGTTAAGAATTGGGCACACAGGCCCGTCTTACATTCTGCCCTTCTGGCCTTACGCCATGCATACATTATTTATGCACACATTGTTTAAGAAGATAGTAATAATAATAATAATAATAATAATAATAACAACAATAATGACAATTACAGGCATCATTAATAACATGTTTGTAACAATGCACTCTAAGTATGCCTACATTTTAAAACAATTATACACATTAAACGAGCCACTATTTGCAGTGCCTGTTCTTCAATAAGGGGAGAAGACTGTAAGATCAGTTAAAGTTAAGGTCAACATGCATAGGTTATTACATTTAATTTAAAAACAAATACAAAAAAGCAAGTTAGAGAATTCAAATATCTATGAAGTATTTTTTCAGAGGACGGAAGAATAGATCGAGAAATAGAAAGGTCACGAAAACGAGCTAGTATACTTATATACCAACTGACATCGTTATTAAAACATGCAAACATAACTATGAGCGCCAAGAAACAGGTTATAAATAGGATATTCATACTACAGTGTGCTACCAGTGCCAGACTTCGACATCATCTAAGGTTAACCTATGTAAAGTTAAGAAGTGCGAAATGACAAACGCGAGAAAAGCCACAATCTTAACCATCTGAGACAAAGTCAGAAATGATATCAGACAGACTGTGAGAACAAAATTTGCATCAAATTCGTCGAGAAACCGAAGATCAAATGCAAAATGCCGCCAGAAAAATTACCGATGCAGGCGCTAAACGGGT